ATGGTGTGAGGGGTAAGAAATGCTTACACCAGGTACCAGGTCTGACACACAGTCTGTCTAGAGCAATAGCTGCTTTGAACAGTAATGCCTAAGGAAGAGGAGTGTGAATGCTCTGCCCAGTATAATCTCTTGGCCCCTCTAACTTTGCCACTGAAAGACTTTCTGAGTAGCTTGATCTACCTCTAACAACAATAATTTGCTATTTCAATTAATAAAAACTTTCTCAGGCAAAAAAATTTAAGTCAATGAAGAGAACTAGCATAAGATCCTGGGTCTAGAGCACTAGGCAGGCCAATTCAGACATGAAGAATTGCACATATCAAGGCTATAAACATTTTAGAAATTGTTACTAGTGCTCAAACAGAATTTTGTGCCTTGCTCAATTCCCTACATCACATTATAAACATTTCACAACAGCTGGTCCTTCTTGTACACAAAAACTATGAATCCATTAGTGTGTCCCTGCAGTATTTCTACAGCTCTGACTTGTTCTGTTTAGAACAACAGTTGTCTGCAATAACATTTTCTTTTTTTTTTCCTAACAGTTGTAATGGTAGAAAACTGTACAGATGCAATTCCTGATGACAGTCACTTAAGGCTGTAAATGTAGGCTCTGTGTGTTCACCTATGTGGTACTGAAGTTTGTACCTTAGCCAGTAAACCTCTCCAGCATTAGAATTACCATTGAAAGAGAAAACTTCTGGACTTTCAGGATACCTGAATGCAGCATTGTAGTTGATTCAGGCACTGCTATTCCAGGCTCTGGTGTCTAATTCCAGGATGGGTTATTGGAAAGAAAGCAGAAAGTTAAGGAAAATAACTAACTTCTTTATATCCAACTTGACTTCACTGTGCCTTGTGTCTTTCTTTATCTGTTACACTTTGAAATCTTTAAAAATACTGGCACTGAAAGTTTCCTTGACGAAATACATGATGGTAAAACCCTTTGGTAAGATGCACATACATTACTGCTCTCAATATAGCCAATTCTGTTGGAAATATTTACTGCTAAGAAAGAAAAATAAAATTTAGATTGAACAGTAATAGTTTTAATAACAACCCACCACATGCTCTAATCACTGAAATCTTTGGTGAACTCATAAGTCTTCATATGTAAGAGCCTTAATTGCTCAGAGAAATGTTGCTGGCATATTACTCATTTTATGATAATTGATGGCTGTTTATGCACAGTTCTGCTTTGGCAGACTATATATCTTATTTGATTAGTATCTTTATTGTGCTAACTGTGTATAAATAAAAATATGCCTCAAAGATACATACTGTGACATAATTATTTCAATACAGTATATTCACATTAGTTTAAACAGCAAGTTTCTGATGAACAGAGAACATAAAACCACAAATTCCCTCAATATCTTGAAAACTCCTTTTGTAGACAATAGTTATTAGGTAACAGAGCCAGAATCAACAAAGTAATTAATTTTTATTGTAAATGAAATGAATATAATTTAGCTTTGTTTGTTGAATGGATCCTGAAAGAGGACAAATGGAAGTATGTTGGGAAAAGTTACTGGGGGTGTTTTGCTACTGATTTCAGTATGACTAGGCCTTCACTCTGCTTTTAGTATTCCCATTACTGATTTATTTATATGTGACAGTGAAGGAAACCTTAAGTACACTGCAGTATCTAATCTGTGTAAAATACTAACAACAGTAATAAAAAATAGTATTTTTCCCCAATATCTAGATCACACTTACATGCACAAGAAGTAAAATAATCCAAATTTACACTCATGTAATATGTGCATATGACATATACTGATCACTGGAAGAATTTAAAGTTCTGTCTCTTCACAGCCATTGCAAGATTCAAGACAGACACAAGAAGTTTATGTGATCCTTGCTTGAGAACACAATTCCCACTCATTCATTGCTATATGTTGTGGTTTAGGGATGATACTCCCCAATTTTCTGCTCCCCACTGAGAGTCTCCAAACCATGCACTGCTTGCCTGCTTCTCCCCCTCCCACAGCCTCCCCTTGCAGCTGGAAAGGAGGATTGGAGGCAAAAAGGTGAAGATAAGAACAATTTACTGGAAACAGCAGTAAGGGAAGAAAACAAACAGTAATAGGAACAGCACTAATGACACAGGGCACAAGAAAGAGGGGAACAATTCACGTGTGACTGCTGGAGCTGGTGTCACCAGACTGCTCTGCTGCACCTACATGACCAGAAGGAGCCCCTTCTGCCCAGAGGACACTCCCTTCCCCCTGCTCCCAGACCCCAGCAGTGATGTGGGTTGGTATAGAATAATCTCCAGGTCCCCTCTTGGCTAATGAAAAAATTAACCCAATCTTGGCTGGAACCAGAACACTCTGGTCTTCACACCTTTTCCTTCTTATCTGGTTATAAATTTGTTCTGTTATGGACAGTCACACTTGTTCTTGCTTTTCCAGACAATCATCACCAGCCTGATTTGTAAGTGCATTTTGCCTCATCTTCCACACTCTTCCTAGGTACTGATTTATAAGAATTTTTAAAATTCTGTTGGGAAAGATTCCATAATTTTGCACATTACATTTTCATGCCTCAAGTTTCTCTGTAAGAACACTTGGAAGTGTGTACCATTAGTACTGATCTTGTCTACAGCTTTTCCTGAAAAAGGGATGATGCTTACATTTTCATATTAAAAGAGTAGTATTCCCACACAAGAATTCAAATTCTCTTGGGAGTTTGCTTAGAATGACAAGTACATTTCACATGAACCTATATAGTGACAATATTTTATTTGCATTTTTTTATGAATAGCATGTAAAGCTTACAATTTAAGTACTCACTTTCATTTACCTCTCTCTTTCCCAGTTTCTTCCTCACTTCCTGAATCATGATGCTAAGTCATCACTGTTTTCAGTGATGTTTTCAGCCTCTCTATTCAAGCCATTTCTTCAGTGTAAAAGCAGAGAGATTTGTCTGATTCATGGCAGCTTCCCAGATGATTCTACTGTGTAATTCTCTAAATAAGCCAAACACTGCTCTCCCAAAGTCCTAAGTCTCACTGTTTACCATCACAACCTTCCTCTGAATACTGAACTCAATCATTACAATGAAATTTGCCATTCATGGAAATGGCTGTCACCAATTCTTGAGCAGCAAAGTAGGGGCCTGGTTGGAAGCAAAAGCAGTCCCTAAGCATAGCTTATGAACCTCATGGGTGGCCTGAATAATGCCACTATCCCAGATAATGGTTGAAAATGAAGTGGGGAGACTTCTGCCAGCATCCTCTAGAGTAAGTCACAACCACTACATCTGCCTGGACAGAGAGTCCACAATGGATCTCAACCAGAATCTCTCTGTCCCTTCCTTCCTGCTCCCACCTTGAAGCAGACACGAGCTGCACATGTCCAGTTTCACTGTGGGGCTCTTCACAGTCAAAGATCAACCTGAAAGAGAACACAACTCCCTCTCCTCCACTTCCCTGTCTGTGCTTTCAGTTCGGTGCATTCGATGCACTGCCTCAGAGATGAAATCTACTGCTATTTCCACAAGTAACAAACATGACAGCACATCAAACCACATTCATATCACACATATTCCAAACAGGTTTAGAACTTTCCTATGTTTTGTGGTTTCCATTGACACAGGAATATGCTTTCTAATTAATTTAATCTAATTTCATTAATTAATGAAAAGTAAAACTAAAGATACAGGAGCTGTTTTCACTGACATACACAGTGAGTTGGATGAATACTTTGACAGATATCTCACAAAATATGCACTGCTGAAATAAGCATAAAATTTTTCTTAATTTCTTTGGCAATAATTTTTGACTATCTAAATAAGTACTGGTATAGTACTTATTTAGTACTATTTGGTTTTCTAATAATTTTATTATTCTAATATTCTATTATTCTAATATTCTATTATTTCTACTAATAAGTACTATTTAGTACTTATTTAGTTTTCTATAGCTTAATTTTTTTCTTGTATTACCATTAAAAAACTAACATTATTTTTAATAAATGAAGAGTTTCAGGTTTTTTTTCTAAGAAATCTAATGAAAAAAGGTTCAGCAATAATTAGTGCTATAGTAGAAACATGGGGTCTTCAAGTTCAAGTTTGATGTTATTTTTATAATACAGCTGATACTAGGATCTACTAGAAAAAGAGGGTCTTTTAAATATGCTATGTTATGAAATATAATGACATCAACTTATAAGAGCATAATTTTAAAATATTTATTATAGCTCTCAGAAGCATCTTGCCAAAAAGAACATAATTTACCCTGATTTCTCCATGTTTCAGAAATCTGATTCTGCCAACTGTAACATCTATGCTCCATTCATAATTACTAAGACTGAATGAATCTTTTCACATTCTCTTCAGAGGTTTATAATAAAGTAACATATTTATTATAACTAACAACAGACACAAGAACCTAAAACCCTCAGAAGATTGTAATTCACAGGTCCAAAATACGGAAGAGTTTATAGATATATTTGCCAGTGCAAGAAAGCATCTCCCATATGTATTAAAACTTTTACAGTAAGTATCTTTTTGTTCATGGGGAGAAATCAATTGTGGAAAGAGAAAGAACCTTATTTTTCATGGGATCTTAAAAAGACACTGCTAAATCTAATCTTTGGACTTCAGTTGATATCACCAAATATAAATGCCACACACAGCACAGAATTAAGAATTGTTATGGAAATGTTCTTTCAGCAGATATAATGGCATATTCCTTGAAACTGGTGGTTTAGAGACTTCCTTAGCTGCAAACATGAAAGTTATTGTCAAGTAGTGCAAGCTGCATGAAACACAATTATAAGCTTTATCTTAACAAACTGAAAATAACAAGACTTTGCTCTTCCTTTACTATTACTCCTGCTCCCCTATTCAATTCAGCAACCTCATATGGCTTTTCAAAGCAAAATCTTCCCAGAAGCTCAAAAATTCTGCATCTATTCCCATGCTGGGACTGTTTTGTAAAAAAACATCAAATCCAAGACTGAAAAGACTACCAGTGTAAATTATTCACTTACCTGTTTTTCAGCTTGCCCATATTCTGACCCTTGGGGTGACAAGAAGTGACAAATATGACCATTGTTTTTTGCTTTTTCTCGAAGAGCCATAGCAGTTCGTACTGTAGCATTTCTAGCATGAACAAACACCATCACCTTTAGACAGAAAGAAACAGGACCAATGAGATATAATAAAAAAGGTTTAATCAAATAATGAAAACTCTTTAATTACAAAATACTGCCCTATGGGAATGACAAAAACTAGTAAATACATGACATACTGATGAAAACTAATGTAATTCAAAGGCAATTAAAGGATGATCCTGCCTACATTCTTATTTAATATTTTCAAAGAGCTTTTGAGGAGATTGTATTTTTAAAAAATTTTTAAGTCCTTAAAAATAGAGAACAATTGTTGGCCATAAATAGTTCATGTTCACACAGTACTAAGATTAACATTGATGTAAAGAGTTGTGTTATTTGACACGTCTTAAATGATCTGGAAACAAATGCTGGGCTGATAAACATTCTGATGCTACAACTTGGCTATGTGAGAAAAGAACAACCAATCAAACAGAAGAGAACTACTCTGCAATGCTCACAGTTAAAAGCCCACAAGAATATTACCACTGTTAACAGCAGGACCACTAATGCAATATTCAAAAGCCATGAAAACACTAATCAAACTGTTTAAGAGAAATATTTTTACTTTTTTTTTTCATGCTGTTGAGAATGTCAAGAGATCTCAAAAAAGAGTTGGAGTCTTTTACCTAAAAACAAGTAAAATATTCTTTCTTTCTTTCTTTCTGATTACTGCCTGCCATAATGTATGTCTAGAAACAACCCTGAGGGCTTTAGAAACCTTGATAGTCGGAGGCACTCAGTATAGGTGCTTCAAGAACTGGAATGGGACAGATGGATTGGGACCACATTGAGTTCCCTTTCTCTTCTGCCTATTATACTCAATAAATTTCAATAAATTCATCAGGTGTAAACAAAAAAACCCGCACATGTTTCTGCTTTTAGTTAGCAGAGGCTTGGAATAAAACTTCAGTTATGATTTCTAAAGCTTCTGCCTACATGTATGACAAACTCTGACACCACAGCAATCATTCATTCAGTAAGACCTTAGTGTGCAGACAATAACTAAGAAACGAGCATTGTGCAACTGTCCTCTACCCAGAAGCCTTTCTACAGTTCTTACAGACACTTAATTTTAGATGTGCAGCACTCTTCTTTGACATTTATCTCCCCCTGATTTAATAATGTACAGCTGGATTCATTGGCTTTTATGTGTTAAATGATGACATATCAACACCTGAAAAAAATTAAAGTGATTGCAAAATTGTTGATTGAAAAACCCGAACTTTTCAGACAGACAACAATCTCTGTACATCTTATAACATCCTGTAATCTCTGTACATCACAACATGTTTTTAAAGAACCAGCCCTAGCTAAAAATCGACATATAACACCTTGTTGGATGTTTTTTTCCCCAATGAAGTCAGTAAACATTCAAATATACTGTAAGACAGCAATATAGTCTTAGGAGGGTTAATTTAGCCTGTCCTAACTGTGTCAGAGAATATTATATTTCAGTGGCAAAATCTCTGTGCATTACATTATGCAAATAAGTTAGGAAAAGTAATTTAGAATAGAGAGAAGTGGTTCCACAGTTACAAGCTGTGTAATTAGATCTGTACTTTGCAGTTCAAAGCCAGCTCTGGTGTACACAGCCCTAGTGCTGAAAGCGTCTGCTGCTGCTCTCCTGAAACCAAAGCTTTTAAATAATAAAAAATATACATTAAAGGAGAAAGCAAATGTCTCTACCTAGATTACCTCCTCAAAATTTTTGCAAAGTATAAAACAAATCAAACCTTTTACTGAAGACTTTGTTTAAAATTCACAGCAGGAAGTGCTTGCATTCCCCAAAGAGTTGCATATTCCAGGTTTTAATCTTTATGAAAGATGTTAGTGCATCACCAAAGTGCAGAGAAGTGTGCTATTATTACTAAAAATGTATAATCAGGTACTTGAAATACCTTGAAATGCATTTCTTTTGCCTTGGACAGCAAAGATGCTTGGATTAACTTTTCCTACGGGAAAATACATATCTCAAACTGACATTCTCTATGATAGCCCTAAAATGTTGCATCATTTTTCTGGGGAAACATGCTGACTCTTTCACTTATCTTTCCATCTTCCTATTAAAAGTGCTGGTCACTTGAATGCTTGAGTTCAGCAATTCCCTTACTGAGCACCTCTCCTCGACGAGAGAGGTGCCTGGGTTTTGCCAGCCACTTTGCCTCATACCTTTCAAAGAAACTAAGACTAAAGAATGAATTTATTTATTTCAATGCTGTCATTAACTATGTGGTAAAGAAACAAGCATCTATATTTTAGCCTCAAGACACTGTTTGGCTTCACACAGCTAAATCCTTATAACATGTTCTTTTATGTGGTTCTTGATCTGGGTATTACTTCTGCTGAAAATGAACAATTAGGGATATTGATCAACAGATTAATCTGTCCATCTTCTGCCTTGAGGTCAGCATGAAAACTCCTCCAGGTATTTTACAAAACTCAATTCCTAAAAAAGTTTCAATGCTTTTCCCCAAGGACTGCTAATGACACTTATTTATGATAAAAACATTTCCCTCCATATCAATAAATAGAACCACCTTACAGACTAAGTAAAACTCTAACATGTAGCCTAATTCTAAAGATTAATAAAACTTTTTTCTCCCATGCTGTGATTTCTCCCTAACTGCCAAGATACAGTTCAAAATTGCAATGCCCAACATTTACAGAATGAAAGTATATTACATCCAAAATATACATGAAAACAACACACAGAGCTCACTAATGGCTCTTGATCAAAATGATGCTGAATCAGGATATCTTAGGGTACCAGATCTAACTGATAGCATAGCACTGTATGAATGTGATTTCCCATTTCTCTCACCAAATCCAGTAACTCATGAAGAACTATCCAGAACTAATAACTAAGAAAACAGCAATAAATAAGAAATTCATAAGTTGACCTATAACAATCTTAAAAAGTTTAACTTAGAAATCTTATTTTTGCTTTAGCAGATTTTTGTATTTTGCATCTTAAAGTCCTTCTGCACATTAAACACCATGGGAATGGAAGGAGCTGAACAGGCTGTCACTTACTAAGGCAACAAGAGAATTTGAATTTACTTTCTAATTATTTTAATTAATGTTAGTACATCTTGTATTTAAAAGAAATATTGATATAATTTGCATGTGTACTAAGATCTTTTACTACAGAAAACTGAAGGATTACTAAGCTGCCTATAAACTAGTGCTAATGAGACATTTTTTATATCCTTCCTTGTCTACAAAAAAATCACAATTTAAAGGCAGACTGCATTTACTCATCACATAACATTAAATAATGTGGATTGGAATATATGAATTTTCATTCCAGGTTGAGAAGTCAAAAAAAATTAAAGAGAAACATTTAGGAAACTGTGCTGTGAACAAAGCTGCACAATACCATACAATATTTTAACAGAAAATACTAATTAATAACAAAGAAATATATAATGTTTCATCAGCTAATCAAAACAGTAAGGTGATATATTTTGAAGTCTTGATAGGTTGCCATTAATCACTCTCTAAATTTTGATTTATTCACTCAAATAAATGACTTCTGATCATCCCTGTTAAAACAAAACCTAGGATTTTTTCAAAACATTATATAATCTCATAAAAATCTATTTATCATCACTATTTATCTAACTACCTTTCTATTTTGATACACTAGGTTTTAAGGGGTAATTACTTCACTGTGCAGATATTTTTACTATTGCATTGTGCACTTACTTATTTATCTGCAATAATAGTACTGTTTACACATGTACCCTATAATTACTTAAAATGTGACTACCCTAGTGAATGCTTTATTGCACAGTCCCATCTAATTTTTTTATTGTTTATGAATCACAGAATTTTTTGAGTTGGAAGAGAACTACAAGGATTATCAAAGTCCTCCTCCTGGCTTGGCACAGGACAACCCCAAGAATCCCACCATGTGCCCAAGAGCATTGTCCAAATTCCTTTTGAATTCTGTCAGGCTGGTGCTGTGACCATTTCCCTGGGGAGCCTCTTCCAGTGCCCAAGCACTCTCTGGGTGAAAAATCTTTTTCTAATGTCCAACCTAAACCTCCTCCAGCTCATCTTCATGCCATTCATGAAACTATGTAAAGGGTTCTGGTAGGAACAGATATTGGAAGTTCTTTATTTTCTTCCTATTGGCCCTTCTTTCATTTTGCCTTGTGTGTTTTACATCTATCCATAAAAAAAATGCTCTATTACACAAATTTTGAAATACTATCATATTTCTTATTCTTAATTTTTATTTCTCTTACAGTAAGGGTATGACTAAGGATAAGTTTTTGTTATGACCTTTCCCATTTGCCCCAAGGACTCTGAAATTCCTAGGCAAATCTTACTAGCAAGACCAAGGCAAAGAGGCCATTGAATAGCTTGGTGTTACAGATGTTTTATGTCACAAGCTTTGCTGCCCCATTCAGTCAAGAGCCATAATTTTCCTTAGCTGCCTTCCTGCTGCTGCTGTACTTGTGGAAGCCCTCTTGCTGCCCTTCACACACCTTGCCAGATTCACTTTCAAACAGAGTTTGGCTTTCCTAATCCTATTTCTGCATGCTTGGACAGTGGTTTTATATTACTCCTGGGTCTTCTGTCCCTGCTTTACCCTCCCTTATGTTTTTCAGGAGTTTCTTTCTCATCCATACTTGCCTTGGGCCATTTGCTTGATTTCCTGTACATCAGGATGGACTGTTCTTGAGCTTGGAAGATCTGATACCTGAAAATCCCCTAGCTATTCCAGAGCACCTGTCATAGGATCCTTTCAAGATTTCTGAAAAGGACAAAGTGTTCTCATGCAGCCCAGGACATGCAGCTTTTTTTGCCTTGTTCCCTCCATTAAAATCTTGAACTCCACCATCTCATGGTCACTGCAGCCAAAACATTTTCCAGCATTCAGATCCCTAACCTGTCTTTCCCTTTTTGCAAATACAAGGTACAGCACAGCATCAACGTTCACCAGCTCCTCAATCATCTGTGTTGGGAAATTGTCATCAACACACTCCAGAAAGTTACTGGAT